AAAATAACTATAATGAGTTAACTAGTTTGGTTTTCCGTGAAGAGGTACTTGTGAAGCTATCTTTTGCGTACGTCAACTGCAGGAAATAAGTCGCGAGCAGCATCGGCCGATGTTCCTTTCATTTGTCGATCTGGAAAAAGCGTTTGATAGCATACCTCGAGAAGCGTTATGGATGATTTTTTTAAAATTGGGATGTCCGGAAAAGTATGTACAAGCAGTGAAGCTTCTACATGATGAAATGACATGCTGCGTTTCCGTAAATGGTGAACAAACAGAATTTTGCCCCGTTACCTGCGGTGTCAAGCAAGGTTGTGTCCTGGCGCCAACGTTGTTTGCAGGGGATGCTATAGATACTCTGCAAGAAGGGATACGTATTCTTCTCCGCACCGATGGCAATCTTTTTAGTTTAAATATACTGCGGGCGCAGTCTAAGGTGTCCTGCGACGTAATAACTGAAATTATGTACGTGGATGACTTGTGCTTTGTGACGGATTCCCCAAATTCTCTCCAAAGATTGATGACTAGTCTTGATGAGTCATGACGTAAGATTGGCCTCAAAGTCAGTGTCACAAAGACGTGAAGAAGTGATGGCTACGGGCTCCCACTCTGACCCTTTACGGATCCGGCTTAATCAAGGCGTTCTGACTTCTGTAGAAATGTTCAAGTACTTGGGAAGCGTAATAACATCTAAATTTGACCTTGAAGCTGAAATTAATGGAAGAATCGGTGCTGCATCAGCTGCTTTCGGAAAATTGGGATCAAAGGTTTTCCGTTCACATTATCTCAGGTTACCCACTAACATAGCAGTCTATAGGGCTGTTATTTCGCCAAACCTTTTATATTCTTCTGAGTCTTGGTGTTTGTGTCGGAGGCACATACGAATTCTGGATAGATTCCATATTCAATATCTCCGTAATATCATGGGTATACGTTGGGCCGACAATGTCAGGAACACGGAAGTCCTACGACGAGGTAACATCTGTGGCATGGAGGCACTCCTGATGCAGCGACAATTGCGTTTGTATGGTCATGTGTTTCGGATGGCTGACAATAGAGTGGCAAAACGCGTCATGTACTCTGAGCTTCAAGAAGGCAAGCGCAAACAAGGCGAGCAGCTCCTAAGGTATAAGAATGTATTAAAGAGGAACATGAAAAATATGCAACATCAAGCCCGCCTCTTGAGAGTACCTAGCTAAAGACCGGCAAAAATGGAAGGGACTTGTGAGATAAAAAATCAACACCTTCGAAGCCAAACGCGTACAAGATCTAGATTCTAAACGAGTGGAACTTAAAGCCCGACTACCTGCGGCTATACAATATAATTACAGCGACGGTGTTCTCACCTCTTGCTAAGATCGGCTATGCTAGTCACTTGCGAGCACAATGAACGGGCGAAGCAGTAAAACTTATATATAGGATAATGATTTCTTATATTTACGCGAACATTGCACATGATTAAAACTACTTTTACGGATTTTATCGCGTTTATTTTTACTTTTTATTTTTAATTCCCGAAGTTTCGGGCGCTTTCCAGCACCCATGGTCACGGGGGACTGAGATGACTGACGTCCCGATGTCATTGTTAAACCCGGAGTACCTTCAGGTTTTTTAATTATTGTTTATGGTCCGATCTATGCAAAATGAACTGACTATGTCCTGAGGTCTTGCAGTGGTATGCTTGGGTTTAGTTTTAATTTTATTGATTATAGGATCCCAAGCAGGTGGTAGTACCCAGCCTCCTTCTCTATTGAAATTAGGATGTTTTTTAATTTCAATAGCCTCACGTATCATCCTTGGTAGGAATCGGTGTTCTTTCGCGAGGATTTGTGGTCTATCAAATCTGATGTAATGGTTGGGGCCGTCTAGGATATGATCACTGCAGTCGGATCACGGGAAGTCTGCAGTTGCAGGTTTGTTATTCTCCAGGCTGGGATAGCGCTACTTTGTCCAGTAGCGCGTCCAGCCGTGGAAAGTTTGGCGCCTATAATACGGCACACTGCCAGTGCGGCGCCAAAAAGAATTGAGTCCGTCTCGCAAAGGTCCCGGCTGGCTTCCAAATAGGTCATCAGCATTGGGTTCAAAGCCCTCACGACAGCCCGATTCCGCTTGCTTAGGGCTATGCGGGGAAGTCGCGGTCGATTTTCGAACTGCGCGTTTCCACAATCGCCTCTTCCAATGTACTCCTCATATGCTCTAATTCCAGTTCTTGGGCGACTGTTCCATCATCGTTTGAATCAACCACAACTGGGATATTCACGGCGGCATTCACGTTTGCGGGGTGCTCTGCAATTTGTGGCGCCGCATCCTCAGCCGTAGCATTTTCATCCGATGAGGGAACAGCCTCACGTCGTAGTCGTTCGAGTTCGGCGATATCAAATATATTTGAGCGCAAGATATACCGAACCCGGTCTGCCAGGTTTTGCTCTGAGACGGTTAAAGATGGCTCCAGCTCAGCAAAAAGACGATGCATCCTAGCCCGATACGCCAAACCTCCAACTTCTCCCCCTTTCGCCCTAAAATACGCCCGTAATGCGTTAGTATTCATTTCGGTTGTCCATCGCATGCGGCGTACTCCACCAGTGGCGGGTGCCGATTGATGGGCCCGCGAAGACCCTGCCAACACCAAGTCAGATGGTGGGGATGATGGATGCGAGGGCTGATGGGTGGTCGTGCAGCACCTCTCGCTCAGCTGGCGGTTCGCATGCTGTCGCGTCCAGCGCCAGCTCCAAACGCGCCCTGGCGACCTCCAGGCAGCGGCCCTTTGCGCGTTTTTGCATATTCCATCATCCATAAAAGTGGGCGTCATTTAACGGGAGACGCCCAGACCCGGCGCCGTTTTATGGTGGGGCCATGTGCACAAGCGGGCCTTTGCGCCTTTAATTTTACGCACGGCACTAACACCTCTTGGCAAGGTGCTGACTGACTGCACTGACGTAGTGGTTTTGTCACATAACCGTTACGTCAGCGGGCGATGGGGTCGTCACTTCCCTACGCCATTTTAGTTATTATTATTTATTATCATTATTATGGGGTATCTATATAGTTTTCTCATCTAGTTGGGATGTATAAATATATAATTATAAACGAAAATGAAAAGATAAATATACATAAATATCAATAAAATAAAATAAATACAAAAATACATAAATAAATAAAAGCCCAACCAGATGGAAGCCCTCGGCAGGGGGAGAACAAACGGCCAAGGGTTAGGGGGAAAGGGAAAGAAACCGGCGGACGATGCGGGCAGTATCAAGGAGCACCGCCTTCTGCATTTGAGCCCGGAGCGGTCCGTCACGGAGTCCCAGTCGCCTCAGATGACCAGAGAGGCTGACTGGGATTAGCCCATTCGCAGAGACGACTACAGGAATAATTTCGGCCGGCAGACCACCCCACATGTCGGTCACCTCGTGAGCCAGGTCCAGATATTTTGATTGCTTATCTGTTTCGGCTTTCACGAGGTTCTCGTCATACGGGATGGTAATATCGACCAAAAATATCCTTGACTGTGCCCGGTCCATCAGCACAATATCAGGCTTATTCGCAAGAATAGTCCTGTCTGTGATGATGGCCCGGTCCCAGTAGAGCCTGGCGCGGTCATTTTCGAGCACGGCTTCCTGCAAGTACTTGTAATACGGCAATTTCCGGTCCACGAGACCGTATTTCAGAGCGAGCTCCTGGTGTAGAATTCTGGCTACTAGGTTGTGCCTGTGCAAGTACTCAGAGTTAGAAAGCGCCGAACAACCGGAGATGACATGCCTGAGTGACTCCCCGGGATGGCGACAAGCTCGACAGACGTCGACGGTGCCATCCTTTAGGATGTATCTCCGATAGTTGTTGGTCTTAATAACCTGATCCTGTATTGCACAGACAAAACCCTCGGCTTCCCCTAAGAGGTCACCGAAACGTAGCCAGTTGAGGGAGGCGACTGTATCTACGAAGGGCTCATGTAGAGCCTTGTAGTACCTCCCGTGGAGCTCCTTCTCCTTCCATACGGTCTCCCGGTCGGAAATGCTAAGCACTGCTGGGTCTTGCCATTGCTCGTTGGCTAAGGATAGACTTTATCACTAGAAATGACGTCATTATAGAATGGATCATCCGATCTCGCCAGGAAGTGATTGACGGAGGCTGCACACTTCGCGATTATGCATAGTGAGCGCGCTCAGAAAGCCACGCCCACCATACTTTCGCGGCAAGTACAGCCTCATTACCGACGATCTCGGATGATGCATCCTATGGGACGTCATGGTAGAGCGGACTTTTCTATCCAGGGCGTTAAGCTCGGTCTGCGTCCACCTGAGTATGCCAAAGGTATACATGAGGACAGGCATGACCCAGCAGTTATATGCGTGTGCCTTATTCACACCGGACAAAAGGCTGTTAAGCACTTTGGTCAAGCGTGCACAAAACGCGTCGCAAACTGACTGTTTCATACCAGCCTCATCGATACCGATGTTCTGTGACATACCCAGGTATCGGTATGTTTCAGCCTCGGAAAGGGTCCTTAAGTTGACGGGCATAGACAAGTCTATGCCCTCAGAGTTAGCAACCCTTCCCCCTCTCAACATGGAGGACCGCACACTTATCCGTCCCCAGCTCCATTCCAATGGAACTGCTAAATTCACAAGTGATGTTTAGCAATTCCATAAGATGGGAGCGACTGGAGGCGAATAACTTAAGGTCATCCATATAGAAAAGGTGGGTCACTTTTGTCCCCCCTTTCCGTAGCTGAAATCCCCTCCCGGAGCCCTCCAGTAAGGCACTGAGAGGGTTAAGAGAGAGGCAGAACCAGATTGGACTCAGACAATCGCCCTGGAAGATACCCCTTCTTATCCTTATGCGGCTTTCCGCAGCCATCATCCGCTCGCCCAGATGACAAAGGATCGTACTCCACTGCCCCATACACTGCTCGAGGAAGTCTCTAACTGTACAGTCAATCTTGTACAGCTCGAGGACCCTCTTTAGCCATGTATGGGGCACCGAGTCGAACGCCTTTCTGTAGTCTATCCAGGCGGCAGAGAAGTTCCGACGTGACACACTATGAACCCCTTCACCCAGTAATGATGCAGCCCGTCGAGCCCCGGACTTTTCCAGTTCGGGGCCCTACGGACCGCCTCAGCCACGTCTTCCGGCGTTATAGTGACGGGGTCCATGGGCGTTACACTCGCACACTGGCTCGCCACAACTTCCATCCAAGGGCCCTCGCTGTGGTTTACGGGCTCTGACCACAGGCCACGCCAGAATGCGACAATGTCGGCCTGATCCGGTGCTTGGCCCGCTCCACATACCTTTGGTCGCTCCAACGATTTATAGAACCTCTTCTGATCACTTTGGAAGAGACGATTCTGGTTAAACCGCCTTGACCTCTCGGTAAATCGTCGAATCCGCTTCCCCCAAGCAGCGATTTTCTGCTTCAGGTCGTCTATGCGCTCCGTCAGTTTCTGCGCGATATCCGGCTGGGACAAACTAACATTTGTCCCAGCAAACGCCATCCTGACGGTGCGCACAATCCTCGGTCTATTATTACCCGACCTGAAGCATATCAGTCTGCCGATAAGGGCCCTAGCCTTTGCGATACGTTCTTCAATTCTTATTCTCCAGGCTGGGATGGCGCTACTTCGTCCAGTAGCGCGTCCAGCCGTGGGAAGTTTGGCGCCTATAATACGGCACACTGCCAGTGCGGCGCCAAAGAGAATCGAGTCCGTCTCGCAAAGGTCCCGGCTGGCTTCTAAATAGGTCACCAGCATTGGGTTAAGAGCCCTCACGACAGCCCGATTCCGCTTGCTTGGGGGTATGCGAGGAAGTCGCAGTCGATTTTCGAGAGGGGTACTGCGCGTTTCCACAATCGCCTCTTCCAATATACTCCTCATATGCTCTAATTCCAGTTCTTGGGAGACTATTCCATCATCGTTCGAATCAACCACAACTGGGATCCACGGCGGCTTCCACGTTTGCGGGGTGCTCTGCAATTTGTGGAGCCGCAACTCCAGCCATAGCATTGATTCATTCGACGAGGGAACAGCCTCACGTCGTAGTCGTTCGAGTTCGGCGACATCAAATATATTCGAGCGCATGATATACCGAACCCGGTCTGCCAGGTTTTGCTCCGAGACGGAGATAGACGGCTCCAGCTCAGCATAAAAAGCGATGCATCCGAGACCGATACGCTATTCCCACAGTTTCTCCCCCTTTCGCCCTAAAATACGCCCGCAATGCGTTAGATTCGTTCGGATTTGTCCAACGCATGCGACGTACTCCACCAGCGGCGGGTGCCGCTTGATGGGTCCGAGAAGACCCTGCCGACACCAAGTTCAGATGGTGGGGATGATGGATGCGAGGGGCTGATAGGTGGTCGTGCAGCTCCTCGCGCTCGGCTGGCGGTCCGCATGCTGCCGCGTCCAGCGCCAGCTCCAGACGCGCCCCGGCGACCCCCAGGCAGCGGCCCTATGCGCGTTCTTTGCATATGCCATCATCCATTTAAAAGTGGGCGCCAAATAACGGGAGACGCCCACACCCGGCACCGTTTCGTGGTGGGGTCATATGCACAAACGGGCCTTTGCGCCTACAATTTTCGTCTAGGCACGGCGCTCACACCTCTTGGCAAGGTGCTGACTGACTGCGCCGACGTAGCAGTTTTGTCACATAACCGTTACGTCAGCGGGCGATGGGGTCGTCACTTCCCTACGCCATTTAGTTATTATTATTATAATTCGACTTATACTAATTGAAATATATTGTACGAAAGTAAATACTTCCCACGATTAAAAACTGCGAGCGTAGTTGACGATGCTCTAGCACGCACAAAATAGCAACGCCACGGCAATCGACGCACACGAGACGAAACGAAATGGACATCGAAACGAGACGAAGCGTGAAATTAACTGACACAGGTACCAAACTCGACAAGCGCTCACGCTGTAGTAAACGCTACTTAAACGGTATTTTTATTTAATTAATTAAAAATAATAGTAACTATTTAAAAAGTAAGAATCATCGTATAGTTTAAGCAAATGTTGATGATTATTTTGGTATAAATTTTACGTCAAAATAATGTAGAACTTTGGAGATATTGGGGCTTTTATCGAAGCATTTCCGGTCGTTAATTGAATTATGTCGATTTTTTTCCTTACGTGAATGGCATATAACGACAATGTATTTTATTATTATTAAAATATAGAATATTAGTGAGATAAAAATATTTTTGATGGTCGATATTCAATGGAATCTACAAATTAGAGCTCCCAAATCATGTTTCTCAGAGTTTTGGACTAAATATGCATCGTGAGAATGATTATTATTAAATAAACAAATACGTTATCTAAAATTTGCCTTGAGCTTATTGTATTAGAGAAAACAAACTATTTTTAATTGTTATTTCAAGCAATGAACGGAAAACATATAATTTCAACGAGGAAATCTTATAATTTCGCGTTTTTTTTTGTAATACTCCTCTTAATATAGTCATAATAGCTAATACCTATTTCGAAAAGAAATATTAATCTTTTTTTCACTTTTCTAATAAACTTCCCTTGCGAAATTTGTGAAATGTTTCATCTCATCTAAAGTCATGCCACCCCGATGCCAGAAAAAGTCATTTATGCCCTCATTACCCTTCCGTTTACATGAAGTGTTGCGATGGTGGATCCATCCATGGTAGGCTCTGTCTCTACTACTTTCCTTGCTTTCCCACTCTGCAGGCTACAGTAACGATGTTGGTATTCGTTATCTTGTTGCAGCATGACTAGATATCCATCTCAGAAGTACGACTCAATAAACAATTTAACATTAATTCGCGGAGAAACCAATACCAGTGTCGCTGTTGTAAACTTTCCGTCGCAAGGCCATTTGAAGGACGCGACTACCGATAATAGGTTAACAGCCGTTGCGGCGGCCGATCGACTTAAATCGGCTAGAATGGTTAAATGTCAGTAGTTCGGCGATACTAAGCTGATTCCGTGTCGACAGATGTGGAGAAACGATCATTAATTAGACAATATTAATATGTTGTGTACCAAGAAGTAAATCTCTTTGATTTCCATTCATTCATTTCATTAAATCAAGATTGTCTTCATTATTATGACCAGACGGCAACTGTTCAGTATGAGACTGTCAGATATCTCAATGATCGCGAGGATGAAAACTGATAGTAATCATTGAATAGTAAGAGGCACGCTAAATCCTCATATTAAGTTGGAGACGTCACGTTTAATGAAACCACCGCTCTGTTTCCCTTGTGATCTAATCCAAAGCTCTGAAAACTTTCAACTTGAATTACAAAACCGTTTCCAATGCCTAGAAGATTGTTACACAATGGACGATATGAATGACAAGCGCGTCGAAACTGTCCTTACAATTGGATTTAAGTTCTGCAAGACCCGTCGCAGAAGAACTCAAGAACTTTCCGATCACAATCTGAATCTCATGGCTGTTTTCCGGGAAATGAAGCCAGAGTCTTCAGCAGACATGACAGCATACAGGCAACTGAACAGACATCCAAATGCATGAGGTGGGACTTAAATACAGCGTCAATACAGTTCGTATTACTTGCACAGCTTCAACACTGCTCGAGCTAAGCTGAGCAACAAGACCAAGGTGACTAACTCTGCCACGCTATCCATGAATTTCTGCAATATCAGGAGACTTCACTCGAACCTAAACGAGACCTCCACGTGAAATCCACTACCAACTCTCGAGTTTGAACACATCGGGGTACGAATTGGAACACAACTTTGTGCCTCAGGCTGGTGTTTGCGTATACGTTAGAGAGGACATCTGTTCTCGACTCCTCGACAGCCTTGAAGGTTCAGACCTGTGCATCCTTTGGCTACGCGTAAAAAGCGACAATCATCCGCGCGTCTACGGCTGCCTTTATAGGTCGCATAGCGGTAATGACGAAACAGACTGACTTATCGCCCACGTCCAAAAGGCTACAGATTCCTTCAGTTGCAGATCTCATCCACAGAGATCGTGATCTTCGGCGATTTCAACATCCACCACGACGAATGGCTCGGTACATGTTTAACGGATCATACGAGGAGATCTGTTCATAATTTTGTCTTGGTATATATAGTCTGACACAACTGGTTACTTCGCCTATGCGTATTCCAGATGTGGAGGATTATGCACCTTCCCTGTTGGACCTTCTGCTGAGTTCTCATACAGGCAGATATCAGGTCTCCGTCGATTGCCCTCATGGCTCCTCGGATCATTGTATCCTCCAGAGTGCGGTGCCACTCACGGGAATCGTGGTGTTTGGCACTACAGGTCGGCCGATTGGAATAGGATGTGGTCTTTTTTGTATCCTACCCTTGGGGTGAGTTTGCTTCTCGCCGGACGATCCCAACGTTGTTACTAGTTCTGTCGCTGATGTGGTACTTCACGGTATGGAACTTTTTATTTCTTCCACTATGGAGCCTATCGGAGGCAGATCTCAGTCATGGTTTAGTCGCTCCTGTAAAATAGCATCACGCTATAGGCAGGAGTGCTACCGAGCCTGGGCTAACGCATTAACGTCCCTGGATGTAAACACCAGCGCCCTTAAAAACAAGTATGATTTCGTCTCCAGGTTCTTCAAAAAAGAGTCATTGTCAAAGCAAGGTCAGAGCACATAGGCAGAATGAGCGAAAAACTAGTTCACCTTCCTTCTGGAACCCGTGAGTTATGGTCTCTCGCCAATGCTATCCAATGGAACTTCTGTCAGCCATCTTTTCCATCTCTGCACAAGGAGGATGACTCACTGGCCCATGCCACAAAGGAGAAATTCGATCTGCTAGGCTCTTTCTTTGCGTTCAACTGGACTCTCAGTGACGAAAGGAGCACCGACCATCCCGCAGTGTGAGTGCTCCATGGCGGATGTGGGGTTCACACAATCCTCGATTCACAAAGCACTCCTAGATATCCATAAGCGAGTGGGCCTGACGGAATTCCCGCAATTGTGCTGAGAACTTATGCTCCAGAGTTGGCACCGGTTCTAACGGGTCTTTTCCGGTACTCCTACTCTCTAGGCGTAGTCCCAAAATCACGGAAGATGGCTTTCGTCCACTTCATCCCTAAAAAAGGCTATCGATTAGATCCGTCTGACTAGAGGCATATTGCCATCACCTCTTTGTTCTTCAACATAATGAAATACATTAATAAACTGCCAGAACATGCGATACCTTGAGGATCACCAGCTGATTAGTGACCCCCAATACGTATTTCGTCGGGTCGATCAACTGGTAATTTTCTAGTCTACCTGATTCATAAATGAACGAAGGTAGTAGAGTCCAAGGCGGAGGCATTGGCCGTTAGTTTGGACATTGCGAAGAGGCTTCGATCGGGTTTGGCACAAAGCGCTTCTACCGAAGCTCCCTTGGTGGCTCAGGACCGGTCTTCGTGCATTTCTTGGAGGCCTATGTTCAGCAGTTGACCTGTGAAGGGCTGTAATGATGATGATAGCAAGTAGAATTTATATTTGATATTCCCTTTATAAAAGTTCTTCAGTGCCAAAGTGATAACCACTTGATATGAACAGATAACATGACAAACTTCGGAAACAAATTGGCCGTTGAAGGAAAAGGGAAGGTCTCCTGACCTGCAAGGTGTTCGGTCCGGAGGGTGGCCAACGCTCTTTGTGGAAGTACAGAGAATTAGGCTTCGGAGTGTTTCTCTTGTGGCTTCATCGCTGGCGGATGAATTGCAAATGATGGTTACATTAATAATTATATCATTAAAAAAGGGGAATGAAAGTGAATGCAAGTTCGAAGAAGTGAAAGACACGTTCGCCAATTTACGATGTTTTTTTAAAGAATCTACCTTAATATATGGTAGGTGGTGAAAGTTGGGCATTGCAGGGAAGCACGAAAACAAAAAAAAATTGTTACAGGGTAGAGATCATATATTTTAAAATTGCCCGCGCCACCCTAGTATTTTTTATTGATTTTGTCAAAACGGTATTGTCTTATCGTATTTATCTTTTGTGATTTTGTAGATTTTAGCATTTCTATTATATTTGATGTGATAAAATCCACCAAAATAAAAGGGATGCTCTGCACGTGCAATGCGTTTTAAATAAGACGATCTTTCTGCGATTTTCAACATCCTTAAGGAAAAACTTTTAACAAATTGAGTTTATTCAGTATTTGTATGGCTATTTAGTATAGCACTTTTTCCAGCATTTTCTGTAAACTTAAGCATGTTTTTGGCATTTTCTAAACGTAGATTTGGCATAAAATATTTTTAGAGCAACATTGATCATCCCTCTCTTCTAGTCCTACAGCACAGGCTAAGAAGAGCATCTCTAAAACGTAATGATTGTAGAGTACTCTGAGTACCTCCTCCGCTATAGGATTATAGATAGCTTGTTCATGGAATTATAAGTAGTAGGACAACTCGTAATTTTGTCAATTTTATATGTAACTTTAATAACAACGAACAATACTATACTTTGGCATGGCTTTTATTAGGTGGATGTTTGTGTTCCGAAACTTTATAATAATAATAATAATAATATAAATTAATAAAAAGGCGTAGGGAAGTGACGACCCCATCGCCAGCTGATGTAACAGTTACCTATGTGACAAAACTGCTACGTCGGCGCAGTCAGTCAGCATCCTGCCAAGAGGTGTGAGCGCCGTGCCTAGGCAAAATTGTAGGTGCAAAGGTCCGTTTGTGCATATGACCCAACCACGAAACGCCCAAAAAATGGATGATAGAAGAAACACAGAAAGGAAAGCGCATAGGGCCGCTGCCTGGGGGTCGCCGGGGCGCGTGTGGAGCTGGCGCTGGACGCGGCAGCATGCGGGCCGCCAGCCGAGCGCTAGGAGCTGCACGATCACCTAGCAGCCCCTCGCATCCATCATCCCCACCAAAAGGCTTGGTGTCAGCTGGGTTTTCTCGGACTCAGCAAACGGCACCCGCCGCTGGTGGAGCATGTCGCATGCGTTGGACAAAATCTATGAACGAAAACGCATTGCGGGCGTACTATAGGGCGAAAGGGGAAGATACTGTGGGAATAGCGTGTAGGTCTCGGATGCATTGCTTTTTTGCTGAGCTGGAGCCTTCTATCCCCGTCACGGAACAAAACCTGGCAGACCGAGTTCGGTACGTCATGCGCTCGAAAATATTTGATGATGCCGAACTCGAACGACTACGACGTGAGGCTATTCCGTCGTCGAATGAATCGGATATGGCTGGAGATGCAGCTCCACATTCGACAGACCAGCATCCACATGTGGAAGCCGCCATGGATCTTCCAGTTATGGTTGATTCGAACGACGATGAAATAGTCTCCCACGAACTAGAGCAAATGAGGAGTATATTGGAAGAGGCGATTTTGGAAACGCAGCACCCCTCTCAAAAATCGACCGCGACTTCCCCGCACACCCCTAAGCAAGCGAAATCGGGCTGTCGTGAGGGCTCTTAACCCAATGCTGGTGACCTATTTGAAAGCCAGCCGGGACCTTTGCGAGACGGACTCAATTCTCTTTGGCGCCGCAGTGGCAGTTTGCCGTATTATTGGCGCCAAACTTCCCATGGCTGGACGCGCTACTACAAAGTAGCGCCATCTCAGCCTGGAGAAAAAGAATCGAGGACCGTGTCGCAAAGGCAAGGGCCCTTATCGGCAGACTAACAAGCTTCAGGTCGGGTAATAATAGACCGAGGATTGTGCGCACCGTTAGGATGGCGTTTGCTGGGACAAATATCAGTTTGTCCCAGCCGGATATCACGCAGAAACTAACGGAGCGCATAGACAACCTGAAGCAAAAGACCGCTGCTTGGGGGAAGCGGATTCGACGATTTACCGAGAGGTCAAGGCGGTTCAACCAGAATCGTCTCTTCCAGAGTGATCAGAAGAGGCTCTATAAATCATTGGAGCGACCAAAGGTATGTGGAGGACCGGATCAGGCTGACATTATCGCATTCTGGCGTGGCCTGTGGTCAGAGCCCGTAAACCACAGCGAGCGCCCTTGGATGGAAGTTGTGGCGAGCCAGGGTGCGAGTGTTATGCCTATGGAACCCATCACCATAACACCGGAAGACGTGGCTGAGGCGGTCCGTAGGGCCCCGAACTGGAAAAGTCCGGGGCTCGATGGGCTGCATCATTACTGGGTGAAGGGGTTCATGGTGTGTCACTCTGTGCTCGCCCGACAGTTTCAAGAGGCTCTCGACCAGAAGTCGCTCCCGAGCCTCTTCACTACTGGGATCACTCACTTGGTTCCTAAAGATCAGGATACCACAGATCCGAGCAAATACCGCCCCATCACGTGTCTACCCACCATATATAAGACACTGACATCCATTTTGAGCGCGAGAATCACTCGTCACCTGGAGCTAAACCAGGTGATGTCACGCGCTCAAAATGGATGTCGGGGCGGTGGTCGTGGAACCAAGGAACCACTCCCCATTGACGCGGTCATAGGCAAAGTGGTGAAACGCAACCGTCGGAACTTCTCTGCCGCCTGGATAGACTACAGAAAGGCGTTCGACTCGGTGCCCCATACATGGCTAAAGAGGGTCCTCGAGCTGTACAAGATTGACTGTACAGTTAGAGACTTCCTCAAGCAGTGTATGGGGCAGTGGAGTACTATCCTTTGTCATCTGGGCGAGCGGATGACGGCTGCGGAGAACCACATAAGGATAAGAAGGGGTATCTTCCAGGGCGATTGTCTGAGTCCAATCTGGTTCTGCCTCTCTCTGAACCCTCTCAGTGCCTTACTGGAGGGCTCCGGGAGGGGATTTCAGCTACGGAAAGGAGGGACAAAAGTGACCCACCTTTTCTATATGGATGACCTCAAGTTATTCGCCTCCAGTCGCTCCCATCTTATGGAACTGCTAAACATCACTTGTGAATTTAGCAGTTCCATTGGAATGGAGCTGGGGACGGATAAGTGTGCGGTCCTCCATGTTGAGGGAGGAAGGGTTGCTAACTCTGAGGGCATAGACTTGTCTATGCCCGTCAACTTAAGGACCCTTTCCGAAGCTGAAACATACCGATACCTGGGTATGTCACAGAACATCGGTATCGATGAGGCTGGTATGAAACAGTCAGTTTGCGACGTGTTTTATGCACGCTTGACCAAAGTGCTTAACAGCCTTTTGTCCGGTGTGAATAAGGCACACGCATATAACGGCTGGGTCATGCCTGTCCTCATGTATACCTTTGGCATACTCAGGTGGACTCAGACTGAGCTTAACGCCCTGGATAGAAAAGTTCGCACTACCATGACGTCCAATAGGATGCATCATCCGAGATCATCGGTAATGAGGCTGTACTTGCCGCGAAAGCATGGTGGGCGTGGTTTTCTGAGCGCGCTCACCATGCATAATGGCGAAGTGTGCAGTCTCCGTCAATACTTCTTGGCGAGATCGGATGATCCATTCTATAATGACGTCATTTCTAGTGATAAAGGGCTTACCCCTCTATCCTTAGCCAACGAGCAATGGCAGGACCTAGCAGTGCTTAGCATTTCCGACCGGGAGACCGTATGGAAGGAGAAGGAGCTCCACGGGAGGTACTACAAGGCTCTACATGAGCCCTTCGTAGATACAGTCACCTCCCTCAACTGGCTACGTTTCGGTGACCTCTTAGGGGAAACCGAGGGTTTTGTCTGTGCAATACAGAATCAGGTTATTAAGACCAACAACTATCGGAGATACATCCTAAAGGATGGCACCGTCGAAGTCTGTCGAGTTTGTCGCCATCCCGGGGAGTCACTTAGTCATGTCATCCTTCGGCTTTCTAACTCTGAGTACTTGCACAGGCACAACCTAGTAGCCAGAATTCTACACCAGGAGCTCGCACTGTAATACGGTCTCGTGGACCGGAAAGTGCCGTATTACAAGTACTTGCTGGAAGCCGTGCTCGAAAATGACCGCGCCAGGCTCTACTGGGACCGGGCCATCATTACAGACAAGACTATTCTTGCGAATAAGCCTGATATTATGCTGATGGACCGGGCACAGTCAAGGATATTTTTGGTCGACATTACCATCCCGTATGACGAGAACCTCGTGAAAGCCGAAACAGGTAAGCGAACAAAATATCTGGACCTGGCTCACGAGGTGACCGACATGTGGGGTGGTCGGCCGACCGAAATTATTCCTGTAGTCGTCTCTGCGTAAGGGCTAATCCCAGTCAGCCTCTCGCGTCATCTGGGACTCCGTGACGGACCGCTCCGGGCTCGAATGCAGAAGGCAGTGGTTCTTGATACCGCCCGCATCGTCCGTCTCATTCTTTCCCTTTCCTCCTAACCCTCAGCCATTTGGTCTCCTCTGCCGAGGGCTTCCATCTGGTTGGATCTTTATTTATTTGTGTATTTTTTGTATTTATTTTATTTTATTGATATTTATGTATCTTTATCTTTTCATTTTAATTTATAATTATATATTTATAGAAACCAACCAGATGAGAAAACTATACAGATACCCCTAAGAATAATAATAATATTCCACAACTATCACACAACGCCATCTAGTCCCAAGCTAATCAGAGCTTGTGTTATGGGTACTAGACAACTGATAAACATACTTATATATTTCTAAATACATAAATATTATAGATAAATTACACCCAGACCAAGAACAAATGATCGTGCTCATCACACAAACATTTGTCCTGGGTGGGAATCGAACCCACGACCTCCGGCATAGCAGTCAGGGTCACTAACCACTAGACCAACAGCCCTGTCAAACGTATACCTACCTATAAATTCATTATTATTTAATGGCAACTGTAGGAACAAGATAGCGCCACAGAAAAGTGCGTCTTTGTGTTAAGCCGTGAATCCTTACTTTTATGAGTTACCAAAATTTTACTTTAATGCGTTCGAGATAAAACATGAATTGGTTTGACACAAAATTACGAGTAAATATTTTAGTTCTACTAATAATTCTATGATATTTACTTTGCGTTATATGCTATGCATGGTGCTAGTGACAGCTTACAGTTTAGTGTGTCGAGAGTGGATCAATGTCAAATCGATTTACAAAAGGCGATTAACTAATTAAAATAACAAAACAAAGCAAAAATTTGAGATTAGCTATCGATATAAAAATGAAAACCGAAACATATTATATTTCTTAATAAACTACAATGCATGTAAAATTAAGTTAAAGTTACAATAAAATTTAATACAAATTATGTCATAACAACAGTTATGTTTTTAACAGTGGTAGAGCCACGCGGCAGCTTTGCTGTTGCACGTATGGGCCGGCTCAAACTGGGGTGGTACCACGACCTCACAGAATACCGGCGTGAAGTGGAAGCTCTGGGTAGGCTGGCGAGTGCAGGTGGCCTGAATTCCAAATCCCCCCCCCCTCCCATCAACACGGTAGCGGAATTAAATGTCAAACTACCCAAGGAGGAGTTTGCGATTACGTCAGAGACGACATCTGTTCTCGACGCATCGGCAGTCTTGAAGGTTCGGACCTGTCCATACCTTGGCTACGCGTAGACAGCGACGACCATCCGCGCGTCTACGGGTGCCTCTATAGGTCCCATAGCGGTAATGCCGAAACAGACCGACTCTTCGACCACGTCCAAATGGCTACAGATTCGTTGCTACAGCAGATCCCCTCCGCAGAGATTGGCTTGGTTCACGTTTAACCGATCATGCGGGGAGATCTGTTCATGATTTTGCCTTGGCATATGGTCTGACACAACTGGTTACTTCGCCTACGCGGATTCCAGATGTGGAGGATCATGCACCTTCCCTGTTGGACCTTCTGCTGACCTCTCACCCGGACGGATATCAGATTTCCGTGACGCCTCTTTAGGCTCCTCGGACCATTATCTTGTCCGGAGTGTAGTGCCACTCACGTTGAAATCGCAGTTGCATTCTGCAGGCTGCCGCCATGTTTGGCACTATAGGTCAGCCGATTGGGATAGGATGCGGTCTTTCTTTGCATCCTACCCTTGGGGGCGGGTTTGCTTCTCGCCGGACGATCCCAACCTTGTTGCGGATTCTGTCGCTGATGTGGTACTTCAGGGTATGGAACTTTTTATTCCTTCCTCTGTGGTGCACATCGGAGGAAAATCTCAGCCATGGTTTGGTCGCTCCTGTAAACTAGCATCATGCTATAAGCAGGAGTGCTACCAAGCCTGGGCTGACGCATCAACGTCCCGGGATGTAAACACCAGTATTCTAAAAAGAAGTATAATACCGCCTCCAGGTCCTTCAAAAGAGTCATTGCCAAGGCAAAGTCAGAGCACATAGACAGAATTGGCGGGAAACTAGTTCGCCTTCCTACGTTTTACGAATTTGCTACGCATATATTGTATTATCTATATGTATATACATATTTGTATCATATGTATATTTCACCATTTCTGTGCATCCAAAGGCTGTTTGGTAGAGGTCGCTTTAGGCGATAAGACCGCCCATTATACTACCTTAATTCTCTGATGTATTTTAATTTTGCTGTTCTATATTTTTGGTGTGTAGTAAAATGTGATTGTATTAAATCGAGAATATATATAAGTATTAATAGGATATCTTGCGAATGTTCTAGAGACGTTTGGAATTATATAACATTATAAAATGTACATGATAATGTAAAATTTGTATTATAAATTTAATAAATATTATTTTGTTTCATTGAAAAAAGTATTCCTACATCCAAAAAGTCTGTCTTTAAAGAGCCTTATTGGCGGCCATCTTGCTAACGAAAGTAGACGTCGGACCGTGTATACCGTAGACAGAGAAACCTATAGACTAATGATTAGCTTGTCCTCGAGTGAGAAAAGACGATAACGTAGTTTTGGGTTATATAATAATCTTTATGACTTTTGAACATATTTTGATAAAATTTTTAATCGTTCTAAGAACTGAACTGAACAAGATTCATCAATCTTAAGGTCACAAAACACTGTTTTCTAAATTAAACCAACTTTTAAACTCCTTATCGCTACGAACTGTCAAAGTTGTTTAGCAAAGTGTAGTTTGCTAAATAAAAAAACTGGCACGGAGAAAAGAACAAACAATCACACCGCTCTGTCTCATTTCTATAAAGACGTATGCATAAATCTATATTATTCGTGTGTGAATGCGAAAGAAGGCGTCAATTTGTCTATAGGTTTCTCTGTCTACGATGTATACCGGAGCGAAGTAGGTAATAGTTTCTTT